GGGATCTCCAGTCGTCATGTTAGGTTTTCATTAAGCTGACCCATTAGTTTAGGCTTAACAACCATTTTTCTCAATGTGCAGTTTATTCTCTCTAAATAACCCGTTTATAGACGGAACCAATAGGTTATTATTCGATAAAACAATTAGTATTGTTCCATTCAAGATTAATTGTAGAATGGTATTATCTACGATATATGTTGGGACTTACAACTACACACATCATTCTATGCTATTCCATTTGTAGCTAGCTATCTCAATCAACTGATATAACATGCACAAATTATCACCAATTAGAAAACCTTCCAAAATCTTTGAAGCCATATGCTTCCTTCTAACTTTATTAAAAGTCCTAATTTATTTCAATTTTCAAGTTGTCGGGAGGATTTTCACGAAATAACTACTCTCAATGGTAAAACAAATTTACTAGTAAATCTTGAATCCTTGTATTGGATATCCAATTTCAACATCACGCACATATTAGTTTAACAAGGTATTCACTACAGTGCAGGTTATCATTTCAAATATTCTCGAATGTCTTGACATTCTAATTTAAAAAAAAAATGCTACCTCCCACAAACCTGGGATGTATGCACACTTTAATTGAGAATGTTATACATACAATAATCCACAATTCTGGATAGGACTTACCTAGAACTTAGCTTAGCAATATAATATTCATATCATTATATAAAATTTGATCATATCGTCCGCTAAATAAATAACTTTAATCCATCTCTAGCCAACGTATAAAATGACTAGGAATATCCATGTCTCGTGAAAGATTATCTTCTTCCATACACATGGATTTTGCAATCCTATTTAGTATCTTCATTGAACGAACTTTAATTGGGCATAAATATATGTCTACATTCATCATATAAACCCAAATTTAGATCTTAAGTTGCACTACGTTGTGCTGGTCACAAAACATAGCTCGTTGAAAGAACGATGCATGCAAAATACACGATCATTCAATTTTTCCCTTCATATTGGCATGTGAACTGCACTTGTCAATGGTAGTGATTTTCATGTTTTCATCAATTTCCATTATCGTCTATCAATGAAAAAAACCACTTGCTCAATTAGTCTTGCTTAACAAAACAAAATATGAACTGTGGTAATGGTCGTGATCAATAGCGAATGACGTAATAGGACCGCCTTCTATTAGGTTTTAATGTAATTGGTAATTCTGTGAACAAATATGACCAAATTGAAAATATGTAAAAGTCAAGGAGGTAGGTGCAATTTTGTATAATTGTGTTAGGTAGGTTAGGGTTCAAGCTCGAAATAAGGAAAGAAGAGCTGCCTTAATTTCCCTTGCTTCTCACCAACACACTGCTCGAGTGACAAAAACAGAATAAACGTCGCTAGCTTGTCGCCAGGATGTAGCTCTCCTTTCACTGGGTTGTCCCTCGAGTGACAGTGTATACTAAAATTTTCTAATTTACGATTTTCAAGAATTTTAGTAGGACCTTACTACCCAAAATGTCCATTATATTAATACCTATGCTGCTTCACAAAAGACTTTCGATTGACCATTCTAAGAAAATATATACACTATTCTTACATCTTTCAATCCATTGATCATTGAGTGTCACAAGTGAAAAACATCAAAACCCATAAATCAAGCACCAAAAATCCATACTTTCAGATTATTTGTCAAAGGTTGAAGATCAAGGAAGGTGACCGAAGTTCCGATTTTTGGAGAACAAGGAGTTTTTAAGAATTCACAGGAGATAGACAAAATCAGAAAGTCAGGAATTGGTGCAGGAGCACGCAATCTAGGAGGGCTTTGGAAATTACAGTCGGAAAGTCAAAAACTACTTGTGTTGGTCAATTCTGGCAGTATTGTAAGTTGATTTGTTTATAGTGGATTCATACTAGCTCGGGCTCGAAGTTTTTAATCCCACGAGGAGCATTCTCCGTCATCAAATATCCCATGTTATTTATTTTTCAGCAATTTATTATACTGTGGTAATTCAACATAAGATAGATTACATGTGAATTCATCTGGACTAATTAATAATTGTGACTTGTTGCAATTATCAAAATTTGTTTAAATTCAGCGTAAACACCTATTCATCTCTCTCTAGGTGTTAGTTAGGTCAAACTACATAACTTTCAAGTGATATCAGAGCTTAAATTCGATTCATGGCCTAAATTTGATCTAAATGAATCAGTCTCTGTCTATGCCTCCATTTTTTTTTTATAAGAAGCAACTATGCATACTAGAAACTAGAATAAGAGCATTTCTAAAGTCCCTAGATGAGTATGTTTGGGTTAGTGTGCAAAATAGTTGGTCCACCTCCTCTACTATTTTGTCAGGTGTAGCTATCCCACAAACATTTTACTTTGGACTAAGGATGGATTAGCTAAGTGCAATCGGAACAGTAAATGATTTCATGCATTGTTAATGGCTGTGTCTCCTGAGAAATTCATGAGAGCGTCAATATGTAAGACCTTTATAGAGATTTGGGACATTTTGGAGACCATGCACGAGGGATCCAAAATTGTTAAAAGCTCTAAGCTACAGATGTTGACTTCTAGGTATAAAAAAATCAAAATAAAGGAATATGAATCTTTTGATGAGTTTTATGCTATGTTGAATGACATAGTAAACACTGGCTTTAACCTACGTGAAAAGATACTCAAATCCAAGATTATTTGAAAAGTCCTCAGATATTTGCCAGAGAGGTTTAGAACCAAGGTCGTGGCTATTGAAGAGAATAAGGACTTAGATATAGTCACGATTGAAGAACTTGTAGGATCCATTCAAACCTATGAACTCACCATATCACAGTCAAAGAAAAACAAGTCAATTGCCTTAAACATCTTGAGGAAAAGGAGTCCAAGTCAATTGATACTGAGTCACTTTGGGATAAGGAAATAGCTTACTTTGTTAAGAAGTTTTAAAAAGTCCTTAGAAACAAGGAGAAAACCTCATGAAAGAAAAAAGAAAATCCCTAGTAGACTTCTAAAAGACAAGCATGAAAAGGTTGGTAGTAAGAGTTCCAGTGATAAAACCCATTCAGTTAGATGTCATAGAGTGTTAGGGGTTTGGTCACTATAGGAACGAATGTCCCAGTTATAAGAAGAACTTGAAGAAAAGAAAGGGCAAGGCATGGGTAGTGTCACTAACCGATGATGAAACAAACTCTAGTAAATAGAGTGAGTCATCTAGTAATAAGGGTAAAAGGAATTATATGACTTTCATATCTAGTACTAAGTGTGAATCAAGCAAGGAGAAAGTTGAGGATGATGAATGAAGTGAGAATTCTGAAGAAGACTCTGAGAATGGGACTAATATTTATAAGGCTTATTAATTGTTGTTTAAGCAGATTCTTAAGATTAAGAAGGTTAATAAAGCCTTATTGAAGAAGGTAGATGAACTTAAGAGAGAAAAAGAGAGATTCGCAAGTGATTTTCAGAATTCATCCAAAAACCTGAGTAAGTTGAGATGTGTCAATGTGAAGTTGGAAGATAAGGTGAAAACTCTAACAAGTGACCTGGAGACAACTCCAGTCTTTCTTGAGCAGGACTAAAAAACTCGATAACTAGTTAGGGATGAATAAGCCTGCTGGAGATAGGCTAGGCCTAGGATATGTTAAGAGTGATAACTGTGATGCTAGTACATCCAAGACCACAATCGTCCTTGGCTCCAACTTCTCAAGGGTCAGGGTATCGTAGGACAGAAGATCTCTAAAACACACAGGACTACCAAGCCTAAAAACCATTATTAGCAATCACGTAGTTTTGAACCTAGGTGTATTCCTACCTATCATAACTTAGTGCTCTAGGACATACGAAGCCTAGGTGTCATAAACTCAAGAATAAAGATAGAGATCAGGATATTCCCAATTGGGTTAACTTCCTATTGAATTAGGTTAGTCACTTGACAGAGATGCTGACTAAATTGACCAGGGTTACCTCAACTTCTAGGAAGGTTTAGGTTAAGAAAAGTTATCTCGCTAAGAGTAATGTGAAACTGAATTACTTTGTTGCCCATGTTGCATATAAGGCTCAAAATAACTCTATGTGGTACCTAGATAATGCTTGTTCTGGACATATATATGGAAATAAGGCCTTGTTATCTACTCTTGATAAGTGTAATGGTGGTATGGTTACCTTTGGAGACGGGGCTACTGCACCTATCCTTGGTAAATGTACTATCCACATATCTGGATTGCCTACTATATCCAAGGTGCTTTATGTGGAACGTCTCAATTCTAAATTTGTTGAGCATAAACAAAACTTGTGATGCTAATTACAAGGTAAGTTATGTCCAGAAAATGTGTACTGTTTCTGACCCTTCAGGTGATGTTGTCCTTGAAGGAGTTAGAAATTCTGGCAATTGCTATGGAGTTCTTCCGAATTCCAACTATATGTGTAACACTGCTAAGATTGATGTGACTGAACTTTGGCATCAAAGACTAGATCATCTAAACTATAAAAGTTTGTCGAAATTAACCAAAAGGGAACGTGTTGATGGCCTACCCAAACTTGAACCAATTGACGATGTCGTGTGTGGACCATGTCAACAAGGTAAACAACTTAGGGTACATCATAAACAAACCTCTAAAATCTTGACAAACAAGCCTCTGGAACTATTTGATGTGGACTTGATGGGACCATCTAGGACTGAGAGTCTAGGAGGTAAGCACTATATCTTGGTTGTGGTAGATAATTTCTCTAGGTATACATGAATTCAATTGTTGAGAGAAAGAATTGAAGCAGCTAGTCTGGTTAAATCCTTGTGCAAGAGACTTAGTAATGAACAAAGTCTTACCGTATCTAGGGTTCGAAATGATCATGGAAAGGAGTTTTAAAACTCTAACCTTAAAAACTTTTGTATAAAGGAGGGAATCTTGCATGAGTTCCCTTCCCCAATCGCTCCAAGGAACTTGGATAAGTTTGATTCAAAGAGTGATGAAGGAATCTTTCTAGGATACTCTAGGAACAGTTGACCCTATTATGTATACAATTCGCACACTCGAGTTGTTATGGAATCGATAAATGTTGTGATTGATGATGTTATCAGTGAGGGAGAGGGTGTGAGAAATTGGGTAAATTGGCGAAGTTATGTGTTGATTCGACAATGACTACTGAACTTAAAGAACAACCAACTCCTGAAGCCCGCACTCACCTAAAGGCTTAGATACTCCTGATAAGGAGCAACCACATATTGACAAATCGAAACCTACTAGGGAACCATCGTCAAGAGTCAAGTCTAATCATCCTAAGGATAATATTATTGCGGATCTAGATGAAGAAATGAGACTACGCAAGAGGATTCTAAACAACCCGACTTACACTAGCTATATTTCCTAGATTGAGCCTAAGAAAGTTGAGAAAGCCCTTAGAGATGAATATTGGGTCAATACAATGCATGAGAAAATAAATCAGTTTGAGAGAAATAATGTGCGGTATTTAGTCCTTAAGGCCTGTAAATTGTAATATGATAGGTACCAAGTGTATGTTTAAGAATAAAATTGACTTACACTCAAGTTGAAGGTATTGACTTTGATGAGACATTTGCTCCAGCTGCGCGTCTTGAATCCATTCAAATTCTCCTTGCTGTTGCGTATACCTTAGGTTTCAAGCTTTATCAAATGAATGTCCAAGGTGCTTTCTTGAATGGAATACTTCAAGAAGAAGCATATATTGAATAACTTAAAGGATTTACCAATCCTAAGTTTCTTCACTATGTCTTCAAACTTAATAAAGCTTTTTATGGTCCGAAATAAGCTCCTAGAGCTTGGTATGATAGACATACAACATATATCATAGAACGTAGTTTCTCTAGAGGTGGTGCCAACAGAACTTTGTTTATAAGATGTATTGAAGAAACCATCGTCATTGCACAGATTTATGTCGATGACATAATTTTTTGCTCTCCCATTGACTTGCTTGCTCATGAATTTGCTAAATACATAAAACAAGAATTTGAAATGAGCATGGTTGGGAAACTAAGTTACTTTCTTGGTCTCCAAGTGAAGCAAATAGATGATGGGTTGTTCATTTCTCAATCAAAGTACGCTAAAAATCTTATCAATAGATTTGGTCTAGACAGTAAGAAGCACACTAAGACACCCATGAACACGAGTGTTAATATAGGTTATGATCCTATAGGCAGAAGTGTAGATCCCACGCTATACAGGAGTATGATAGGTAGTTTACTTTATCTTACTACTAGCAGACTAGACATAGCATTCAGTGTTGGAGTATATGCAAGGTTTCAGGTCGATCCTAAGGAATCCCACTTAAGTACAGTTAGGCGCATCGTTAGGTATGTAAATGGTACCTTAGATCATAGAATCCTATACTCAAGGGACTCTAATCTCGATCTTGTCAGCTACTCCGATGCTGATTGAGCTTGAAATGTCGATGACAGAAAAAGAACTTCGGAAGGCTTTTTCTATATTGGTAGCAATTTTGTAGTTTGGATAAGTAAAAACAAAACTCTATTTCACTATCCACAACCGAAGTCAAATATATAGCTGTAGGTAGTTGCTACACTCAGTTGCTTTGGATGAAACAAATGCTAAGCGATTATGGTATTAGTTAGAAACAATGACTGTGTTTTGTGATAACACAAGTGCTATCAATATTTCCAAAAATCCTATCAAAACTCTTGGACTAAATACATTGACTTTAGACATCATTTCATTTGCGAGCTTGTAGAGACGGTCGTAGTGTCCTTTGAACACATCTTTATTGAAAACCAGCTAGTCGACCTATTTACCAAACCCTTAGATGGCTTGAGATTTAAATCACATAGAAAAGCAGTTGGCCTCTGTATGTCTCATTGATCATGTACTTAGAAGCATGCATGTATACCACATTACATTCATCCATTCTTGCATTCACTTCATTCGATGCATATATATCTTCTTTTATTTGCCTGTGTTTGTTTGACTATTTCATTTCAATATTAAACAAAAGAAAAATGAGGGATTTTGACACTGCTGCATCGTGTTTGTTATCCATGGTATTGCATTTTGAAATCAAGTATGCATTCAATAAACGAATAGGTCTATATTTCCATCACTTGATTTGAGTTTATGAGGCGTAATTGGTATATGTATTGTTTGCACAGCATACACTATGCCTTTGTGAATAAGTCTTAACCGCATGTGAGAGATTTGGGATGACAGTCATGTTGTATACATTTTGAAATATATTCCTCATTGCTATTAATCTTCTACCCATTTTCGAAGCTTATTTGACTCGAGCAATTAAGCCTGAGGGGTTTGTAAATTGGTACCCTATGGTTAACTGATTTCAAAGTCATCGGCCCAAAGCTCACGGTAGGGTCATTTCAGTCACTTAATGGAGAAGGGATTGCATATAAATAAAAAATGATAATAATAAAGTAAAATAAAAACAAAAATCGTGCTTATAGATACGAGGAGAAAGAAACATAAACATTGTATATAGAGTTTTATAGGTCCTAGTTGTGTAGAATTTGACTTTCATTGGTAGATGAATACACTTATTTTTCAGTGATTTTTGCATGTCCCTTCTCACAAATTTAAGGTTTAGAGATTTTGTTTATTTGGGATTAGTGACACTTTTCACACATGGATAATATGTACAATTCACTTCGTCTATACTTGATCTGTATGTGTGGGACAACATATCTATTCGTTGAGTGACTTATTTGTGATTGAATTGCATTTTTGGGAATGATATATGTTGGAATGCATGACATGTTTTAAAAAATGGTGCTATATTTCGAAAAGTTCAATTATTGGTGCTATTTTTGTCAAATGTTTTCACTAGCCTAACGCTAGAGCTTCACTCGAGTGACAGAAACATAATCCTTCTCACTCGAAGTTCACTCAAGTGATGAACAAGTTTAAAGTATTCTTCGCTACCCATTTTTTTTTCATTTTCTAAGCTAATCTCTCTACACTTTTTGCTGTCCGTTATAACTCCTTGCATCAGTTCATCATTTGGACATGTGAACATCTCCATTTCTATCATTCTACATTCACTTCTGAATTTCATTAGATTTTGAAGGTAAATCACCAAACCCTAATTTTTGCATTTTTTTTTCAATTTTTGGGGATTTTCGATTCTTCCACCATTTCATTCGGTTTACATGAATACCATATGCTTTATGTCGGATTGCATTTTTTGGCACTAAAATTTGCACAACTCATTACACAAGACTTCAATTTGGGACACCTTTCATGACAAGTAGAACTGCTTGTATATGGCTTATGGTTTTCTTTGCCTTTATTCAAGCTTTTGAAGGAGGCTTGGATAGGATTAGATGTTGGAATACTTGGTTGTAGATTGATGACGGTTTTATGGCATTGATTGGTCTGCATTATTGTTTGAATATCATGATTTCAACATGCCTATAAAGTGCTCGATGTATTGCCTCTTCCACGAGCTTTCACACTTTTGGCCACACATTTGCACACACTCTTCATGCACCGTGCCATGATCTTGTTTGAGTCGTCTTGTGTCATGATTCTCTTCATTTGCATTGGATTTCAAGTCAATGACATGTTGTACACGTTGCAACCCTACGTTTTGACATCGCGTCATCAGGCACATGTCTAGCTATCATGTTCCCTGCATCTTGACATCATATTATCAACATCTAAGCACTACACAGTCTTCGCCCTTATCTCACAGCACTTTAGTGGGTTGTTATGCGTGTTTTACACAACTTTGCGTAGGGTTGCCTGCTTTCCACTACTATTGCATCGTTTTGTGTTCCTTAGTCAGTTTTAGCATGGTTTTGCATGATTGTGTCGATTTTTCCATTGTTTTGCTTGTTTTTGTATTTTTTAGCACTGTATTGCCTTGTTTTATGTGCATTCATGCATATCATGTATTAGGTGGTCTTCAAGGGTTATAGTTTCGACTCTTGATTTCTTAGATTGCCTATTTGTTGCAGATGGCACCTAAGAGAGCTCGGACTTCTGTACAGCCATCGGGTGGATCGACTGCTTACAGTAGGTCTAGGTTCATCTCTTTTACTGCTCAAGAGGTCTTCGGGTCTCAGTTATCATTCCGCCCCGTTCTTGTAGAGCGTGAATAATCCTTTCGGACCTCTCTCCCAATTTAGTAGCCTATTCACTTCACGGGGTTGGGAGCCCCTTCTGTTGGATTTGTCACCTCCACCTAGTCTCTTAGTTCAAAAAATCTACGCAAATATTCACGATATTAGTAGGTCCACTTTTAGGGGTTTCTTTAGGGATACGACTATTAAGATTACTTCATATGTTATTTTTAGTGCTATGCATATTCCCCTCGTCGTTTGTCCCCTCTTTCCTTATTTATTTGCTAGTATTCTCGTATCTGGTTCTCTTATTCGATTGACGTTGTTTAACAGCCCTTTGGGAGGGGGTTCGATTCGATCTGTACTGGATCTCTTTCTACCGACTGCCAGATTTTGTTACACATTGTGTGCATAAATCTGTGGTCGGGCTCACACCTCTTCCTTGCCTATGGAGAAGGTAATGTTTCTTTATGCGCTATTGCATGGTGACTTTATTGACCTTCTAACTTTCATTTGTCACCGCATTTTATGTACCTTCAGAGTGCCGGGTCATATAATAGGTCTTCCATACGCATGTTTGATTCATAACCTGGTTACATCTCTTAGGGCCATTCCAGATGGTGTCTCGAGATAGATTAGTCGTCCTATAGGTCAAGTTACTATATCCTAGAGTTGATCCTATGCCCTTTCATCTTCTGCTCCTACTGAGCCTGCTAATTCGACAGTGCCTGCTAATCCCATTGGTGATCTACTCTCGGGTGATCCCACTGATATCCCTATTCCTCCATCTAACTTACTGTTTCTATTGATATTCTGTCATTCTCTACCTCTATTCAACTTCCACTTGCTGATTTCATTCGATAGTTTGCTTCTATTCTCTTTGGTCTATAGGTTACACTTATAGGTCAACTGTATATGCTCATCGAGCAGCCGACTTGTAGGATGGTTGAGCTCACACAGTTGAGAGTTGCTTTTGAGCTAAGTTCCTTACCCTTCGTGATACAATTGCTTATGTACAGCGAGGAATTTGGTGGATGTGCAAACATTGGGATTATGATGGTGACGATGAGTCTGACGATGCTAATGATGACGACGACGCTACTTTTGATTAGTTTATGTGGATCCCTTTGTCATTTGCAACAAAAAAGAAAATGGGGAGTAGTTGTAGATGGTATATTGACATTTGACATTTTTTTTATACATTTCTAGATTAAGTTTTAATGTTTTGCAATATTGATATGTTTTTTTTCTTTTTGGTGCTTTAGCTTACATTAATATTGTGTCTTAATCTAGCTATTATGATTTTGTATTTATTTGTAATTGTATTTAATTGCTTTTACTTATGTTACTATTTCACTTGGTTTTACACTTGGTATGTGAGTTATGATTTCAGAGAACAGGTTTGATAAAGGCGAAGCAAGAGTCATTGAGTCAGTCAGTTTGGATAGTCTTGTTAGTTATTTTTGATGTAAAGAATGTTTTGTCGTAGAATGCAGAAGGAGGAGTTAGTTAGGTTTTAATGTAATTTCCAATTCTGTGAACAGAAAGTACTAAATTGAAAATATGCAAAAGTCAAGGAGATAGGTGCAATTTTGTATAGTTGTGTTTCGTAGGTTAGAGTTCAAGCTCAAAATAAGGAAAGAAGAGCAGCCGCAATTTTGCTTGCCTCCCGCCAACATGCTGTTCGAACAACAAAAACAAAATGGACATCGCTAGCTTATCGTCAAGACGTCGCTCGAGTGAAACACCATCACTCGCTTTTCACTGGGCTGTCGTTTGAGTAACAGTGTATACTAAAAAAAACCTTAATTTGTGATTTTCAAGAATTTTAACAAGACCATACTACCCATAACGTGTATTATATAAATACATCGCCCCTTCATGAAAAACTTTGGATTGATCATCGTGAGAAAGTACATGCACTATTCCTACATCTTTCAATCCATTGATCCTCAATTCTCACAAGTGAAAAACATCAAAACCCATAAATCAAACAGCAAAAATCTATACTTCCAAAGTATCCGTCAATGGTTGAAGATCAGGGAGTGTTACTAGAGTTCTAGTTGTCAGAGAACAAGGAGTTTTCGAGAAGCCACAGGAGATAGATGAAATCAGAAAGTCGGGAGTTGGTGCAGGAGCACACAATCCAAGAGAGCTTTGGAAATTACAGTTAGGGGGTCAGAAAGTACTTATATTGGTCGAATTTGGCATTATTGTAAGTTGATTTGTTTATAGTAGATTGATACTGGCTTGGGTCCGGAGTTTTTAATCCCGCGAAGGGTATTCTCTGTCATCAAATATCCCGTGTTATTTATTTCTAGCAATTTATTATACTGCGACAATTCAATATAG